CTTGCCTTGTTGCTGATTATAAGATCAGTTTTGGAGAAGGTCCCATGCAGTGCTGAGAAGAAGTTGTATTCTTTCATGTTTGGGTTAAATGTTCTGTAGATCTCTGTTAGGTCCATTTGAGTCACAACATCTCTTAGTTCCATTATTTCTCTGTTTAGTTTCTGTTTAGATGACTTCTCCATTGGTGAGAGTGTGGTGTTGGAGTCTCCCACTTCAATGTATGATTTAAGCTTCAGTAATATTTCTTTTACAAATGTGGGTGCCCTTAGATTTGGGGCATATATGTTTAGAATTGAGACATCATCTTCATGTATGTTTTCCTTGATGAAATACCCTTCTCCATCTCTTTTGATTAATTTTGGTGGGAAGTCTATTTTTTTAGATATTGGGATAGCTATACCAGCTTGCTTCTTAGATGCACTTGATTGGAAAATCTTTTTTTTACTCTGAGGTAATGTCTATCTCTGGTGTTGAGGTGTGTTTCTTGTATGTAGCAGAATGATAGATCCTGTTTTTGTATCCATGCTGTTAACCTGTGCCTTTTTATTAGCAAATTGAATCCATTGATATCAAGGGACATATATTCACACATTGTACAGAAGCCTTATTCGACAGCATGAAACAAAAAATTATTTGCATTATTTTTTAATTTTTGTTTTATATTTATGAGTGTTTTGCTTGCATGTATATGTCTGGAAACCCCTTTGGGTGCCTGGTATCCAAAAAGACCAGAAGAGGGCATTGGATTCCCTGGAACTGGAGTTACAGATGGTTGTCATGGAGACGCTGCGAATGAAACTTGGGTTCACTGCAAGAGCAACCAGTTCTCTTAACTCTGAGCCATCTCTCTAGCCCCTAAAATGAATATTCTTAGCTATAAAATTTTAGTTATAAATTCAAAAAGAAAACATACTTAGAAAAATTATTCGTAATCACAGCTCGAAAGTATAAGTACAGTCATTTAATTTTTATTTTCCCACTCAGGAAGCTAAGTGTTGTCTCATTAGCACAACCATTCATTTTCATTTCCATCCATTGTTTGGCAGTCCAGTGTTTGCACCTGTCAATAGAGTGACCACATAAAGACCAGCATGTGTAGTCCAGAGAAAGTGGAATGTCAGCAGCTGGCAAAACAAAATGACAGTTTCATGTGGACAGAGCCACGAGTCAATATAATGTGCTGTAGCAAGGTGGAAAATTTGACTTGGGACAAGGAACAAATACTGTAGTCAATATAGGGTGCTTTGCTTTCCTTTGTTTTGTTTTTTATGGAAAGAAATGCTATCTCCATTGTCACAACTGAACTATATTTTGAGAAGACTGAATAATCACTTGCATTACAGAAGATATGCTGCATCAGTCTTATCGCTGGTTCCATGCTTAATCACCTTATGAGAAAAATAGAACCTTAAAAATTGATAGTGGTCCTGGAGAGATGGCTCAGAGGTTAAGAGCACCAACTGCTCTTCCAGGTGTCCTGAGTTCAAGTCCCAGCAACCACATGGTGGCTCACAACCATCCGTTATGAGATCTGGTGCCCTCTTCTGGTGTGCAGATATACATGGAAGCAGAATGTTGTATACATAATAAATAAATAAAATATTTTTAAAAATTTAAAAAATGATAATATATTTCACTACAAATTCAAGTGCAGAATGTTAAAATAAATTTTTAATTGCTAACATGAATTTGGATGGCATGAAGTAAGACATCAGCATCTTCCAATGTGGTACCTTGGTTTGATTTTGTTTTCCTAATTATCTGAGTTTTAAAAATTTAGGTGCCTTTTCTTCAACACAGTGGTGAAACCCTGGGAGTGCTTGGAGCTTCTGTGCAGTGACCTCCATGACCTACAGTTGGCCAAAAGGCACTGAATTCACCCAGTACCCCATGCCTTGGAAGACAGACCATTCAAGTAGACTGTCTCCATTGAGGACAAATAGATGGAGTGATTCTTAAATGTGTCTGCCTTGTGTCACTTTCATGGCTTCTTCCCTTTTCATTTTGTTAATTCTTCCCAGCTTTTCCAATGGTTATACAGGATCTAGTGTATTAAAAGTCAGGGATAAAAGGCACAGTGAACCTGTAATTTTGATTAATTGTTGTTTTATTTGTCTGTTTGTTTGGGGAGACAGAATCTCTTTGTATCTCAGGCCACCCTCAAACCCACTACCAACAAGGACCTTGAACACCTAATCCTTCACCTCCATATGCTGAGTGCTGTGCACTACTGTTCCTCATGGTCAGGGTTTGGACCAGGTGTTTCATGTTTCTGTTCTTAGCTTTTCATGCAAAGAACTGAGATAAAAATCCGAATAGATCTTAAAAAATAGCACGACAATTTCATTCAAATCAAAGCAGTAGTAGATATTAGAAAGGGATATATGGTCAAGATTGACAACAGGCCATATGAACAAAGGTTTCAACAGCCTCAGTTACTGTTTGAGACTTCCTTTTATGGAGTTTAAAAGAAGTTTGGTTGTTAAAGTGTGCAGTTTGGATGATTCTCTACTTTGGCTGGCAGGTTGTTATACAAATGTTTTCTCTCCTGTGCATGTCCCTTCCGGTAATGCATCTAATTTTAATCATATGCATGCTCGATTGTGCATAGGCATAAAATGATAAACAGAGGGTTCTTCCTAAAAGGCTACTTTAGGATTTAGTTTGCACACCCAACAATAACTCACAACAGAGGGGCTCCCCACTTTCTGTGACTAGACACAACATAAATATTGATGAACAAGATCTATGTAAGTTTGATGCTTGTTAATGAAAGGAGAAACTTATTGCACTGTTCAGAGAGAATAAGTATAAACCTCCATACAGATTGGGGTCCTCAGTTGTTAAGAGATTGCTAGGAGCATTGTTCAGAGATGCTGCCATAGTACATGCAGATAAAAGTCTCAGAATGCCAAGTGCATTGTTAGAAGAGGGGTAGGCACATAGCCCAAATGAAGTAGAGTCCTAGGTTTGTAAACTATTCCCTATGCTTGCCTGACTCATCACCATGACAGGTTTATGTGTGCTAGAGTTTGGATTCAGAGCTTTTTGTGCATACTAGACCAGAACTCTGTCAACTGAGCTATACCCTCAGCCCTGAATTGAGTCAGCTTCAGAATCTCATCACATTCTGCTTGCTACACCAGTTTGCATTTTTTGTTTAATAAATGTGGTTGTTAAACTTTTCATCACTATTACCAAAGAAACAACATAAGGGGAAAAACTGTTTTGCCCGTGGCTTCAGACATTTCTGTTCATCTTGTCAGGAAGGGTAGAATGGAGCAAAACCACTCAGATCATGGCTGACCCGAAGCAGAGAGAGAATACCTACATTGCCTTTCATTCTATGGCTCCCCTTGCCCCCAGTCTACAGAATGGTCTCACACACATTCAAGATGGCTTAGAGCTAAGTTATTCTTCTCTGGAAATGTCCTCTCAGATATACCCAGAACTGTGTTTTAATAATCCCATAGGCAGGACTGGGTATATTGCCTACTGGGTAATGCTTTGCTGTGCACACACAAGAACCTGAGTTTAGACCTTCGGCACCATTTGAAAAGCTGAGCATAGAAGTGTGAACCTGTAATCACAGCACTAGGAGGTGGAGGCAAGAGGCTGAGGGGTCTTCCTCTATCACTCTTCACCTTATATTTTTGAGATAGGGTCTCTCACTGAACCTGGAACTTACTGATTTGCTAGGCTGGCTGGCCAGCAAGCCCCAAGGAGCCCACCAAATGCTGGCACCTCCCACTTTTTGAATTTGCCCCTTCTTTGCCTCAGCTTTTACTTCTGGTTACCTGGGCAAGCTCTTTTTCTTTAGACTACAGAACTGCTCAGCTCCCTCTAACCCCTTCTTTAACACAAGCAGGCAATGGACCATGAGGCTGTGGAGAAATTTGCGGTGTAGTGTTGAGTGGGAAGTTTTCTGTTTGCCACATAGAAACATAACATTCATTAACCAAGGTGTGTGTGTGGGGGGGGTGTTTCTGGGAATGGAACTGGAACCTCATGTAAACTAGCTAAGTATTCTGCCACTGAGCGCAGTCAAGAGTTTTCTACACAGTGTATTCTTGTATAGTGGTGGATTCGGGTAGGAATGAGCACATGCCCATAAGAATTCTCTGAACTGTCACTGCTCTGGAACCATGTGACATATTCTCTCCCTTTTTCATTCTCCTCTTCTCTCTCCTCTTCTTCCTCCTCCTTCATTTTCAGTCTCTCACTAGCCTGGGCAGTAAGAGCCAAAGATTCACCTGTCTCATCTGCCCCACCACAGGATTACAAGCTGATGCCACCAAACCCTGTAATTCTAAAATGGATTCTGGGAATCAAACTCTGGTCCCAGGGCTTGCAAGGCAAGCACTTAACCATCTCCCAAGATCTTATACCCAATATATTGTCACTTCCAAATAACCTGCTGGCCCTTCTACAGATAAGTCTAGCAATGGAAACATAATTTCCAAGTACTTTTTTAAAACAAATATGGCTTCATTGGAAAATAACTTCCTGCTCCTGCTTCACTGTTTTAAAAGTGTGGTGGTGAGTGGGACTGAAGAGATGGCTCAAGCACTTAAGAGCACCCACCGCTCTTCCAGAGGAACTGAATTCAATTCCCATCATCTAAATGGTGGGTCACAACCATCTGTAACTCCAGTTCCAGGGGATCTGATGCCTTCTTCTGACTTCTCTGAGCTAGGCACACAGGTGGTATGCATACAAGTAAAACAGTCATGTAAATAAAATAGTCTTTTAAGAAGTTTTTAAAAGTATAATGGTAAAGTTTGACCTATCGCCGTAGCTGCCATTGCCCAGCTGCATGTGTGTTATGTGCACACTCAATTTTAGGGATCAGATGAGACAGTGAAGACCTCTGGGCTACAGCTGGCAAATTTCAAGTCTCTATTTCATTTTTCAAACAAAGATAGACAAGACAGAAAGGAAAACTATCTAGATGCATCAATTTGACATTTTGTCTTTACTATTGTTTATTCTCTTCACAGGTTAAATTTCAACTACCTCATATGGTGTCTGAAGAAGTAATACTAAACTTACAGGCGAAGAAGGTATGACGCTGACCACTACAGACTCCATTATTAATCTCATTATTGCTTCTGGATTCTGGCTATTCCTAAGAAGTAACAAAGCCGATCATTTACAGAAAATAGAAGTGTGCGGTCATACAGTATTCTGATTTTCAAGGCAATCTCATTATTCTCTCAAGGGAATCTCAACATTTCTTTCTGTTGGTGATAATCAAGATTCACTTACTACTTAGCAGAAATAGCCTTTCCTCACTTAGAAGAAGGACTGGTATCGTCCATGTACTTAACCTTGTGCTGGGTTTTTGTGTTTTCTGTTAAAAGGATGAAGAAAAAAGAGCTTTAGAGGATCAAATAAGTATATTAAAATTTGAATTGGAGAATGAAAGGAGGAAGACGGACAGGTACTGGGCTTAATGATTCATATGTTGTCTGTCTGCAGCTGAGAAACTATTTGACCATTTGAAAATATGTTCCAGGCATAGAAAGGAAATTGATCATATCAACAAAAACTGGGAGAGGAAATTCATCATCCTCAGGAAAAGGTATAGTGTAAACAGTGTTCATATAGTTATACAGATGAGTCCCATTTGCAGAAATACAGCCACTCGTCTTTTCAGACTCTTGCATTTTTCTTTATATATCAGTTAATGTTAAATGACCTCACATAAAAGAGTGTAATCCCACCTATCCAAACATCTTCCTCAGCAGCAGTTTGCATATGATCATGAAAAGTGGTTTGCATCTTCACGAATTGCTTCATATACCAGGTCTTTTACCCACAGCTCCTTTATCTCTTGCCCCCAGTTTACTCACACAATTTCTTCTCCCTGAATTATGTTTGCTTTTTTTCTGATGGTGAAAGTGTAACTGTAAAATTCTGGGCCACATATTGTAGCATACATATGTAATGCCAGCACTTGGGAGGATGGAGCAGGAGGATTGCTAAGAGTTTGAGGATAGTCTTGGCTGCATTGTAAGTTCAGAGACAACCTGGACTACATAAGTGAAACGCTGTCTTATGAAAGCATGAACAAGAGAGGATAGAAGGAAATGACAGGAGGAGAGTTTAAGGAGGGAGTGAAAGAAGAAACTAAAATCCTGACTAACAGTATCTAATATTTGTATTGAATGTAGTTGCTATGCAGAGTAAATGCAGCTTTTCTCCTTTGTCCCATCATATGGACATTTAAAAACGCATTTCCTGTCTACTTGTTTCCTCACATAACTTCCCCCCACATTTTCTTAGTCATCACATACTGGAAGTTTCTTTGCAAAAGACTTAATAGTGAAGGGCAGGGATGGCCTGATGTGGGTCACTATAGGCCAAGCTTGAAGCTCATGCATGACATTAATGCATTGCATTTGCTCTGGAGGGCAATAGTATACTCTGCATGTCATAAGCACATGACACCCATTGTGCATAAAAATCCTACGCCCAATGCTGTCATAGTTAATACTGGCTGCCAACCAAGGTCTCATGTGATGCCAGAAATGGTGCCAGATGGGAAGCACAAGTCCCCTTCTCTGGGAAAAAATGTCTTCTTTGTGTTCCTGTTTGGTTCTGCGTATCTTCTGGTGACTCTTGTGCTCTATAAATATGTATACTTTTGGGGTTTGGCTGTCTGACACAAGATGTCACTCTAATGCCCAGGCAGGTCTTGAACTCACAACAATCCTTCCGTCAGAACCCAATGTGCTAGAAGAAGAGAAATGACTCCCATAGTTATCTTCTGACTACCACAAGCACTTTGTGGCATGTACATTTCCATACACACAAACACAGGGAGAGTAAAAAACAGGAAATGATACCACAGTTGAAATATATTGAGAATGGAGTGGGCAGTACATAGCTACCAGGTGTGAGGAGGGGGAGCAGAGAACACCTATATGTGGGCATGCAGACTATGTACATTACAAAGAGGAAATGGGGAAGAAATGGGCATTTTTGGTGTTGAGGAATATTCAGTCCACCCTGGCCACTCTTTTGGCCCCAAAATATTTATGCCTATCTGTAGCATGAATAACAAAAACCAGAGAGAGAGATTGGGGTTAAAGCTGAAGATCAGAGAAGCAAAGATCCTCTCCTCACCATGGCTGGAGACTAAATCTCAGAATATAGAATGAGACACTGGGCTCCTGTGTTTTACATAACTCTCTAGGGTAGATTAAAGGTGTGATCTCTATTTTTCTTTTAGATTATTTCACTCTCATGTCTCCCTAGGTAGCCTAGAACTCACAGAAATCCATCTGCCTCTGTCTCCTGACTCCTGGGATTAAAGATATCTGCCACTACTACCCAGCTTCTATGGCTGTGGCTATCTTTGCATTCTGATCTTCAGTGGCTTTATTAGATCATAAACAATATATCACCCTACCTGTCCTACATGCAAAAATTATATCCCAGGGCATTTTAAGTCTTTCACCCCACCCATGACAGTGTCAGTTCAAGTCTAAACCCTTTCTATGGTTTATATCTCAAAGTCTCAATTCTCATGATCTAAATTCAGGATCAGTGAGGTTCCGGCTATAAATTGATTCATTGTGGGCTCCCAAAGATGTAAACAAGCCCATTTGCTCCCAAATGCAAAGTGGGGTGGGCATAGTATTGATATAGCTGCCAATAATACATTTTAACACTCATGATCAAAAAGGGAGATTTTGTTTTTTGTTTTGTTTTGTTTTCTAATGCTGGGGATAGAACCCAGGGCCTTGTCCATGCTAGGCAAGTGTTCTACTACTGAGATACTTCCCCTATTTTACTATGATGTTTTTGTTCACTTACAATCACTAGAAAAAGCATGTCCAGACACATTCCCAAGTCATATATCTCTAACAACAAATCTCATTTTAGCACTATCCACAATGTAAATAAGCTAAATATTTCCTAAGTGATAAGTTGTGGTTCTTATTATTTCTGATGCTTAATTTCTCCAATCTTAAGTCAGTGAAAACCATCCAAAGATAAAGAATGCACTGTTGAGCTAATCTTTGATTATTTGATTTCTAGTAGAATAATATATCTTAGACTGTCTTGCATATTTGTTTCCTTAGATCTAGAAACAGCCATTTCTCAAAAATGCCCTCATTCATTTCAATGATTACCTACAGTCTGGAGAGGTAGTCATTGCTGTTACTTCTATACTTTTTTGGAGCTAAGAAATTCAGTTTTTTAAAGAAGAAGAAAGTTTAATATTTTTACTTGGAAATACTTAAAATGTGGTCCCTACCCAGATGACAAATGTTGGTCTTATCCTATGACATCTATACATCTTGTTATATTGCTTCTTTTGTTTCAGCTTTCATGTCCTAAAGAATGAGATGTTCATTAGACACACATTTTTCCGGCAGTTTGCAATGATTTCTGAAACCTCCTTCAATTACATTGTAAGTACTTTGAATACATGCATCTGTGTCTATAAAAGACACAGATTTATTTAACATAGAAGCTCTAGTGATAACACACAACAGTCACTCTACAAGCTCCTGAAGGCATAGAACAAAGTTCAGGGCCCCAAGGTGCTCGGTTAGTGTGAAATACAGATGTGTAAATAAGGCTGCTTTAATGCAACATGATGGCTGAGCTGAGAAAAAGTCCTTGCAGATCCAGAGGATGGGATTCTTGTATTGGGTAGTAGTGCCTGCCCATTTGTTCATCTTTGCCCACAGATACTCTTTTGGGGTGTATCCAACTCAAGTTCAAGTCTCCTGTCACTTTCAATGAGCCAAAGGAGTAAGCACCAAGTCATTCATTCTGATTAGAAACTGTACATTACGGATTTGCATTGCTATGACAAAATACCTAAGACCTTTGAAGTAAAGCAGTTTACTCAGCTCACAATTGGAACTTCAAAGTCCATATAACACAGTGTAGGCTGGTGGCAAGGGCTGCACCATTTCACAACAAACAGCAACGCCAGGTGAGTCTGTCATAACAAGTAGTCACATCCTGAGCCAGGAAGCAGAGGGAACAAGAGAACCCAGGCTTGTTTTATGCAACCACCATCTAGTGAAAACTCAAGGTTGCACAAAACAACCTTCTGAGAGCACCACCCCAAAGTGACAAAAAGACCTCCCACGTGGCAGCAACTCTTGAAGGCTCCATCACTTATTAATGCCATGTTGGGGATCCAGTCTCCAATATGTGAGACTTGGTGGCACAACATATCATATCCAGACTGTTCCATAGCAGACATGTAGGTCAAGGCTGACTCTGAAATAGAGCAAGTACTGCTTATGAAAGGAAATGATGGTCAGTCTAGAAACAGATCTGATAAACTTTAACTGAGAAGTCAGTCGGCATGAGTAGCAACTCCTTTCAGCCTCTGCTGCCATGTTGTTTTCTTTGTATCAGTCAGGCTGTTTTGTTTTGTTATGTTTTTTGAACAGTACATAAGGTTGTAGGGTGTTGCTATAAGAGAATTATAGTCTAAAATAATTTTCTTTCTAATTCTTTTCAAATTTTTCACTTTAACAACCTTATTTATACATCTGTATTTCACACTAACCGAGCCCATTTTCTAGGTATAAGTTACTACAAAGTGTTTTGAAATATCCTGTCAGGACAGTATTTTTACCTAAATCTATTTAGAAATCTGAGAGTTTTAAGAATTGTCTCCTAAGCAGGGTGGTGGCATCTCCGGCAATGTGTCCAGATTGCTAAGAGTGGGCTGACAAAGAGGCAAGCTATTTCTTCACTGTCATTACAGCCTACTTCTTTGGGACTCTAGCATATACCAAAAAACAGTTGAGGCATCCAGCTTCTTAGAGTGAACAACTGCTGGAATCTTGAACTTTCCATGGGGAGAAAGACATTGTTGAAATAAGCCACTCTAATAAATCTAAGTAAGTTTTATATATGTAGATTTGCTATATCTGCTCTGCTACTCTAGAGAAGCCTGACTAATACAAAACATGTCCACATCCCTCTGCTTTGATTATGATTTCCTCTTGATCCACAGTACTTGCTGCTTGTATCTTGCAGAAACTCAAGCCCGTGTATGTGCACTCCACAATGAAGGCGTTGGAGACATCCTCTCCGACAAATGTTTTTCACTCACCCGTGGTAGGTCAATTGTTTTTCCCTATTAATAACATTAATTGGTTAATATTATTGAAGCTCAGTAATGAAACGTTTTGGCTACTGTGCAGGCGCAGCACAAGTATGTGGATATACCCAGTGACCAGGAGCCCGTTACACGCGTGCCAAAAGGTAAGAATCTAGGGAATGGAGTAGGGGTATTTCCCATAATGCCAAACTAATATATTGGAGGCCCTGGTAGCCACCACATCACCAAAGGAAAACAAGGTAAGATCCTATTGTTAGGAAAAAAGAGTTCACACAGAGAAAGAGGATGCAAAACAGGTTAACCTGCTTGTCTCTTCCTCTTCTGTAGTCCAGGCCAGCCAAAACCTCACAGAGATCCTCCCTCCATTTTGCTTTTCTTGTTTGGCTAAAGTATTTGGTATTATGGGTGAAACTGGGACTTTTCAGCCAATTTATAAACTGTGCATTTCTGTATTCTGACTGCTGCTAGTTGAAAATGAATTTTGTCTTTCTTCAAACACAGGAACTATCTCAGTTAAAATTTCACTTCTTTTTACTAGACTGCAATAAACAATAAAAAAACCAAACCCTGAATCTCTAGTTAAATGTCTATTGATCCAATTTAATAACTAGCAGAAAAATAAGACTCTTTCTTACAAATTTCTCTTTGATCAACCCCTAAAGAGCTGCACATTTGATGTGTTCTTACACTCCAATTTATTTTGTCTATATGCATGAGTAAAACATTTCTCTGACCTTGGACACCAAAATAAATCCATGTAAGAGTGCTCAGGGTGAGGGCAGATATATGTAGTCAGAGACGCTTGTGGGCTGAGGGTGAATCTCAATGGTAGAGTGCTTCCTTAGTGAATATGAGAGCCCAGGTTCCTCTCTAGGATTGGGGAAAGATGATTCATTATTTAAAGCTTATAAATGTGTAGCGCATGGTGAGCAAGTAGAATTAACAAAATTATTATTATTATTTTGAATTGTGAGCATTGATCGTGACCGATCACTGAATGAGTGATTATTTGGTATATCAGGAAACATTTACAAGTAGACTAGGTAATGAAACTTTCTGCAAGGGGGGTATAAGCGATAAGAGCTTAAATCCTGGCCTCTGCAGACAGTGTGAAGGGTCTCTTTTCATGGGCGTATTTGCAGTGGGAAAGTTTCTTGTGGTTATATGCACTGCTGGTATCAGGTCAGTGGTTGTCTTCCTAGGGACAAAGGAATCTTTGAGTAATCACAGTGATAGACGCCTCCTCGGGGATGATGATAGACTACAGTCATGCTCAGATTGGACTCCATAACTTAGGAAAAGCAATGTTTAAAGATGTCAGCATTTAAATAATGAATTAGATCTGTTAAATTGCAAATCATATGATAAGTTATTTCTAAAATATCTAAATGTACTTGTGGCTTATCACAAAAACATTGTGGATTGGTAAATTTAGAGTTTGTTGTTGACCTGAAATTTGAATTAGGAAACTATAAAGTCAGCAGTGCATTCCCAGACAATCCAGTTGTGGACACTGCATCCGCAGCAATTGACTTTCCAGGACTGAAGAACAGTTCAGTAGAAAGCCTTTGCCTTGTATTCTCAAGGTGCTGGATTACACACACACACACACACACACACACACATACACACACACACACACACACACTCACATCTAGGTAATTTTTAATTGACTTTCTAAGGGTGAGAAAATTATTTTTCAAAGGCCCACTTAGAGTAAAGCAGCCCTGGCTGAAACACTACCAAGCCTTCCTCATCCTTAGAAATGCAAAATGTAGAATTGTCTCTACCTAGTCTGCCAAAAGTCCTCCAAACAGTCATTATTTCACTTTTTTGTCACACAAATCAGATTGAATATAAATACTTTGTGTAAACATGAGTTTGCAGACAAAATCACCATAAAGCGGGTGATTTTGGCTATTAATCCACACCGGGGAAAAATGTTTACACCATAATGTCTTTGTACAAAAGAAAAAGAAGCAAATCTCTGATAAAACTTGCACATGTTTTCTTCTTCCTCTCTGAAGATAATGCTGAGAAATAACCCAATTAGCCAACATGTCTGGCTAATTAGCTCCAAATGAGCCAAAATTTGCTAAAATCAAAATTTCCATTTTTATTGATTGAAGACAAGCAAATTAATGTAAGGAAGAAAGCTCAATTAGTAATTTAATAATTTGAGAAGTGGATGAATCTCCTCACTAAAAGGCAGTTTTTAGAGGCAGAAGCTTGTGGATGGATAGTATCCATGACAGCCTGGCAAAGGACAACATTGTCACCACCAAGCACATCATTCTGAGCTCCTCAGCCACTTTGTAGGGTTAAGAAAATAACTTTTGTGGCTCCTAGAAAATAATTCAATATGTTACTAGTGTTTTTCAAGCACTGATGGGGAATGTACTGTGTATGTTTATCTTATTGATTGTTAAATAAAATATTGTTTGGCCAATGAGACAACAAGTTAGACCGGACTAGGAGTCAAAGAGGATTCTGGGAAATGTAGTAGAGAAGTGGTGATCCAGGCAGGAAGTGACATAGCAAGGAGACTCATGTTTAAAGAAGGAGAAACAGGAAGGCCCCTCTTTTCCCCTCTGTTCCTGCTCCTGCAGCACAATGTGATCCACCCACAAGGAGGGATGCCAATAAGGCATCTGATAAGATAATTCTTACAAAATATATAGGTTTATGATAGTTAAGACTGAGCTAACAGGTGAAAATCCTAGTCTTTGGCCAAGCAACTTTGTACCTAATATGTCTCTGTATTATTTTGTCCATCCATGCGGCGGGGAGAACTCTGGCCGCTGGCGGAGACCGCCCACGTGGCAGTAGGGCTCGGGCGGCTTTGGCAGAAAGATTTATCATAACAAAGAACTAATTCACAAATAATAATATGGTGTTAGCTATACAGTTATGTGTCTGAGCTATAAGTAAATTTATATCACTTCCTATACCGTGAAAAGAGGTGTTCACAATAAGGTATCTGGCAATGGACCGTAACTGGGTTATTCTCTCTCTTCTCTCTCTCTCTCTCTCGCTCTCTCTCGCTCTCTCTCTCTCTCTGTGTGTGTGTGTGTGTGTGTGTGTGTGTGTGTGTGTGTGTGTTGTTGCATGCACATGAGTGCATAGTATGTGCACCCATGTATGTGCACTTGGAGGCCAGAATGTCTGTCACTCTCTGCTTTATTGCATGGAGACAGGGTCTCTCATAGAACTGGAAGCTTGACTTTTTAGTTATGCTGGATGGTCAGTAATTTCTCAAGGTTCACCTGTCTCTACCCTAATGCTGACATTACAGACACATGCAGTCATGCCTAGTTTCTTACCTGGTGCTTGGGATTTGAACTCAGGTCCTTGTGCTTGCTGAACAGGTTCTCTTAACTACTCACTCAAGTCTACAGCCTCTGGAAATAGGACTCTTTGATGTCACAGGCTTATTGTTGTGGTGGTTGTTCAAAATATTCAAATTAATATTAGGATTTAGAATGCCCCGTGGAACATGAAAAAATAACCCTCTCTGTTAGTGTTCTTACCACATCAAAGATTTAAGTTCCTAGGCTGCATTTTCACACCACAAGATACTCTTTGAGAGTATGTAAAAGCTGACATGTAGTAGGAAGAGATAATATTCTAAGTGCTTCTCAAGTTTTAACTCTAATTCTCACTAGTGCCTCCTGAGGTAAGATTTCCCTTATTAATTTCCTTCACTTAACAGGTAGCTCACATGAGTACATCTAGGGTTGGCAAACTGTTATGGATATACCAACCATGGGACTGGGGGATTCAATCAAGTCACCCAAAAGTCTGTGCCAGGCACCCCTGGACTGGGCTATGTGACCCCCAAAATGCATACAAGACCAGATGAAGTCTTGTGTCAACAAGATGCAGGAGATATTCTGTGATGCCTCAGGAAGACTGGGAAGCTGGCAGACTCAGATTCCAATCTCAGTTCATTCCTCAATCCCTAGGCAGCTCCCTCTGGCTTTCCTCTGCTGTGTAAGAGCAGGGGAAACCCTACCATGTGCTCTCATTAAGAGTATTAAATAAAATAGTCTACTAGAAGACACATGGAGCTCATTCTCCCATTTGCTTTTCTTCACCAGCCATTTCTAATTGAATCCCAAACTAAAATCTGGCAGATCTATAATTTACCACATGAAAGTAATGAGGTTCTAGGCAGTAGGCACATAAATTAAAATAATTTCACCTTTGTTTCTTAAGTAACTAGTTTTCCACCAGGCATGAGTAAAACTGAAATCTAAGGCTAGTACATGCAATGCTTTGAGGAAGGAAATTGAAATAATAACATATAGTCAAAACCTTGTTATATCAGGATGACCTGCCTAAGCAGGCTGCACGTGATTCCTTTGTTATGAAGTCCTGAGAGTTCTAAAGAAAGCCATAGGACTTCATTCATGCTCTAGCCAGTGTTAAGAGATAAAAAAAAAAAAAAAGCTGACTAATAGAAGGGAATGAAAAACAAGGCACAACACTAACTGCAAAATCTCAAAGCAGTTTTTTACATGGTAGTAATTATCCCAAGAGAGCAAAAGTAAGATTATTAATTTGTTTGCCACTTCCCTGTGATAAAATGTGGGATGTGAGCCTCCCATTGTGTGTCCCTTGCTGCCCCCGATTATATGTACTCAAGCAGACCTTTCTCACAGCCCAGCAATTAGGTGTTATTGACATTGTAATCTCTGGAAATGTCCTTAGTGAGCCCAAAAGACACGAATCCCATAGATAAAACCTCAAAGTAACTGGCTGTGTAAGCACCTTGTCAGGAAGACAAGGCTCAAACATCAGTATCTGTGTCAGGGGAAACCTAAACTGGCGACCAGATTACATTGTGTGGTTGATTTTCTGGGATTTCTAGGAAAGAAGTAACCAATAAGTCACTTGAAAGCTTTCGAAGAATAGTAGAATGACCATAACATATTTGACTTAAAAATAATTAGTATCTTTTTCACCCTTTAAAAATTTGGACCTGAGAATGGCTTCCTCGAAGTCTTTTCTCCGCCACTTGGCAAGAGTGAATGTTCATTAATAGTTAGGATTAGTTGCACATGCTGCTGTTTTAAATACAATTTTTTTTATCACACAAGGAGCTGGAGAGATGGCTTAGTGGTTTAAAGTACTGATGCTC